TACCCTTTGGCAACAAACCCTCAATTACTATCACTAGTGTTTTCTCATGGAAATTTTACCACAGTGAGATTCTTCAGCACATCTCTCCCTGAAAGGCCCGACTTCCACTGATGAAGTCTATATAACGCTTAGTCAACCCAACTTGGTGAACGATGAGCACATCAACACGACGAACCAACTGCAGGAACCAGATAGCACTAGAAAACAAATGCAAATCCTTTCTGAGCCGTTCATCTGAATCACCAGGTGTCAAACATTTATTTCTGATGCTGAAGAAGGGCAAAGACACAGATTTCCCTCAAGGGCGTTGTCTTGGGTTCTGTTATCCCTCATCTGCTACACTTTCTCGAAATCGAAAGGAATCAGCATTCACCAAACCCAAGCCAGGCTTGGTTGACCATGGCCAGGCTGCAGCCATAACAGGTCCAAAGACATTTCAGTATGACTTGTTGCATTCTCTTTTCAACAACCACCATTTCTCTAGAAGACACTTTTTTCTCATTCTTTGCAGGCACATTTTACTGGTAGGCTGTCAGTCAACTTAAGGCCTATGTCTCCTGAAAGCCTCACTCCTGCCATCAGGATGAATGCTGTCATGTAGAGTTGACTATGATATAAACCCTTTGGAAATCCCACACCTCTATGACATAAGTCACCACCCAAGTGTTTTGCAGCCATGATAGAAATCTAAGAATGAAAATATTAAAAAAAAACAAAATCAAAGGTGCATTATCTGATAGGCTAAGGCAATAGTGTTGCTTTCTGTTCTTAAAACCAACATTTGGGCACTGATTAAAGTAAGTGACAACAAAACCACCACGTTCACAAAATGCGAGAGTTAGCCATAGGGATATGCTGAAGGATTGGGCTGTAACCACAGCAACCCAATCTTCTGGAGAAAGTTTAAGTAGACAGTTTTAAAGCCATGGTTCAAAGATACAGTAAAACTGGCAGTAGGGCTACTTGTGACGTATGGAAAGTGCCACAGCCATCCGAGACGAAGCACTGATCTTGTAATACCTCATCTTCCTGTGGTCCAACTGTTAGGTTGGATCAGGCACCGGGTGCCCTCCTGCAGTTGGCATAAGGGCAACAGAGGAGCAATTTCATGTGTTCTGGGTAACTTGACTGTGCCCACATCCTACCCAGATCAAGTCTGTATGACACAGAATCAGTCTGGTATTAACAACTGTAGACCCGTGGCTTATGTCACACCATGCAATAGCTTTAAGCCTGTGCTTAAACAAACCCCAGGGGCTTAAATATTTTGCTGAATTAGAACCTGATCCTGGACTCTCCTGCACCGCATCTGGCCGTGCAAATCATGGGATCAGGCCCGACTTGCCAACAAATGCTAGACAAAGCCAAAGCAGCATAAGCAAAAACTGCAGACTTTAACAGAAACGTCTGTGTGACCTTCCAACTCTTTCAGAAAGGAAAAGTTTGGGCATTACCACAGCCACAGATGACGTGAATTTTTATCATGGCTAAGAAGTCCATCTTAAGAAAGGCAAGGTCTCTTTGGCAAAAAGACTCCTTCTTTGGAATACATAAAACAGGCTATACTATAAATATGTGATAAATATTGTGATGAACCAATATCCCAGTGGTTTTTAATTGCAGTGCAATTGAGAGAAGTCCACCAGCACTTCCTGATTAAATCCTGAAGCACCAGAGAGGAGATTTCCATACCCATGCAGGTGATGAAAGCCTCTGTGACGTATATATACATTTATGCAGTATCTTCACAGTATATTTATAGCAATTTTAGAAGCCAAACCCACACGCATTACAGAAATTAAAGAAGTGTGTTTTGGATGGGGTCACTCCTTCCAACAAGGCAGACGGCTTTGGTGTTTCAGGGGTGAAAAGAAAAACAATAATACCGTTGCCCAGATGTGTCAGGTCTACAAACTAGCCACAGTACCTCAAATATCAACACTGCTGAATCTTTGATCAAATATCTTATATCCATGGGGTATTTAATGCCTGAGAAGTTTGGCTCTCACCTCCCTGCATGCCAGCCCAAGTCACCACAACACCCTAATAACACAGAGGACTCAGATCTAGATCTCCTGGCTGGCCCTTAACTTTGAAATGGGCTGGAATCCCAAACCCACATACCAGCAAACTTTTCTGGAAAGAGAAGACAGAACTCCAAAAATCAGTAGTTTGGGCCAATCTGTGATTAGTTGAATTCCCATAACATCCCTGGTAAGTTGGAAAGAAGCCCTTCTGTGCAGAGGGCAGAAGACAAGAAGCAACATGACTTTCTCCAAGTCCAGCCTATGGCAGGGCCATAAAAAGCCCAGAGGCTCTGGACTGTGGTCCTCTTTAGCCTAGGCCACATTCTGCAGGAAGGTACAATAGCTTGTTTCCATCAACTGCCCCAGTGTTATTCAGGAGAGTCTCATCAGCCATTTAACTTAACACCAATAAGACTAAGGAATCAGAGCTATGTTTGCTGCCTGATGAGTGGTTTATTCTGCACCCAGAGATGCAAAACCCTCTGCAGGGATACAGTGGAGTTACCAATCCCAGCTCCGACCTCCTGTGTTTTTGTAAGGTTAGTTCAAACCAGGTTTGCTCAACAGTTGTGAGGTTCTTTGACTGGTGGTGGTTCAGACTGCATGTAAAGAAGGGAGCTCAGAAGTACCTTACATACCATGGTTCAAGGAGCAGGAGCCCAGATGGAACCTGGCAGGAGTCATGGTGCAAAAAAATAAATCTGTTTACATCTGAGGCAGTAAAATTCTTGAAGGCCAGGGTAGAAATTTAGTATAAAAAGGCAAACTGCTTCAGCACAGCCACTATGGTAGAGAATGACTTCTTTTGCTTAATGACGACACCCTTCTACAAAAAAGGATTCATTCTAAGCTGTGAATTTTGGGAAACTTCCCCGACATGGATGGAGCTTGCCAACATATAAACCATGTAAGGAGCAGAGGTTTCAGACTGGTATTCCTGTATTTGAATTTACTGTACACAGCTAAAGCTATTAAATTCTACAGTGCTCTTCCATAAAGTTGGTGCTAAACTGAAAGGAAATGCACCATTCCATGAGCTGCAGTGAGTATCTCAATTTTTCCTCTTTGTTTCCTATTGGTCTAGCTCATCTAACTTTTCAGTATGAGTGGGCATAATTATATCAGGCTTCTGTTACAGAGAATAAAGATGAAAGCACCACTTTCTTATTGTTTTTTGGTGAGCACATGAAAAAAAAGTCTTATAACTTACTCTTGAAAAGTGCCAGTTTGTCACTTACATGGTAAATCAGCCTGCAACTGTTTCAGTTCTGCTTCTTAATTTGTTAAGTGCAAAAAAAGGTATTTTCTTTGATTACATCTGCAAATAAGATATTAATGTGAATTCAGTGATATGAAAATTACTCCCACAGTATGTAATTTGCACCTTAGTTATTATGGGTTTCATGAACAAGAATATTATAGCTGCTCAGAGTGCTGTGGATTTTTAATTTTTTTCTTTTGAAATCAACCAAATTAAAAAAAGAAAACAGCACCAACATGAGAAAAGAAAAATTTTCTGTGCCCAGCTTTTAGCTGCCTTCAAATATCGACTGATTCTGGACCAAAGATGAAAATGCTGCTGCTGGCCCAGCATTATTCTGCAATGACATTTCAGCAGAGAAAAGTTGTAAGTGGCTGGGATGAAAATGAGAGAGAAAAAAAATGCTTACTTTTTGGAAAGGCACAGAAGAAGGTTTAATACCTTCTTTAGCTTTCTTAAGATAAAAACTGAACAACAGCAGGTATTTAGGAGGATCCTTTTCGTTGTTGTTGAAACAAGATAATATTTTTAAGAAGTCCAGATCATGTGTGTTAACATCAGAGAAATGTATATCCCAAGGCCTGATTCAATTCTGTTACAGTTGAAGAAAAACTCTCCTATTGCAATAAACTGAAGGTGGAACAAGACTCTATTCCTCAAATGTCTACCCAGAAACCAATACTGTCAGTGGTCCCACTATAATGGGGTGTGAGAGAGGGAGGCATAAGATTTTTTGAGTGTTGCTTTGCACTGCAGTTCTATGCAGTAATTTTTTTTTAACCACTGGGATTTTAAAAATGTGTTTCCAGCCTCACATCCTTAAACGACCTTCTCGACAAACATGATTGGCTTATACCTATGGTAAATCAAAAGCACACTCTTTAAGTAGTGTGTGTGTGTGTGTGTGTGTGTGTGTAGTGTATAGGGTGTGCAAGCTCACATCTTTCTGTGATTGCTCATACATTGTGAATTGGAAGCATCACTGCTGAATAAATTTATGCAATAGCAAAATATAATTTCATAAGAAAAAGAAAAAAAAACTTATTGAACTGGAAGGAAATGGAGACAAGTAAGGGGCTAAGAAAAAAGGCAAAGATAACAAACCTATGTCCCCAAGATACAAGGTCACACCTACACTCTTATGTGCAGTTGCATTGCTTGTGTTGTGGTGAGTGCTGGGTCTGCTCTCACACCTTCTAGGGCAGTGGAGCTACTTCCTGGTGATCCAGATCCTATTAAAGTCGAAGGGAAGCACCCCATGACTTCAAGGAGAGCTGGTCAGGTTCCCAAAATAATATGGGAGAAGGGAGTAGCTCAGCCATCTTTCACATTCTAACTTCATGTACATCTTAAGAGAGAGGAATCAAATGCAGAAATACGTTTAGGACCATGTTCAGACCTCCTCCTCCTCCAGGCAGATAACTTAGGTGCTGTGACCACTTATCTCCTCCTGCTGCAGAGACAGCAGGTGGTCAGACTCACCTGCTGTCCTCCTGAAAAGTCATGCCTAAGTTAGGTGCCTGTCATGTGCAGTCTGAACATGGCCTCTCAAACTGCCCTCTTGTTCCAAGGCCTTCCAGTTTTAATTTTTTTTTTAATTTTTTTTTTTTTTTTTTTTTAAACAGAGATTCAGACCCTTGGCTGGAAAGAAGTCATGCAAAGCTTGTGCAATATCCCCCAACAGGCATTCTGAGGAGGGTCACAGCTGATACTCAGAGATCTGTGCTGGCCTTGGCAGTCAGAGCCTGGATCCGAGCAGAGTTGCAGGTCTTGCAAAGGATGTGCCCATCCAGAGGATAACAGCCCTGATTGTCCCCTTCAGACAGGAGGCCACCACAGTCCTAGGAAATGAGCAAACAGAAAGAACAAAGTAAATAAGAAAGAAGATTAAGCGAAGAATCTAGTAGTCAAAGAGACTCTCTCCTCACTCTCCACCTTGTGACAGGATCCAGCCTGAGTCAGCGCAAAGCACGAAGCCGAGGTGCGTGATGTCTTTCACGATTAAGCCATTTCCTGATAAGAGACAATGCTGCAGAGAAGATGGGTTCCCAAGCTCTCTGCTGAATTTAATCCAATTGAAAATAAAAGGAGATTATTCTCTTCACATTTCTGAGGAAGGAAAGGTCTTTACCGCTGGAGAAAACATCAAACTTAAGCACATATTTATTAATGCAAAAAAGATAAAAAAGAAGCATCGCTGGAAAGGAAGTTTGGTACCAATAGCTGACTACAGGTAACCTCCTTTGGAAGAGTTAATGTCACACAGCTATAGCATCCATTCCAGGGGTGACAGCTAAGAAAACCCCCTGCCTGTCTCCCCTTACCAGGATAGTCACCTGTGTTTGTATTGCAATTGGCCCAAAAGATTGTGTCTGAAAGGACAATGTCACCGAGACAGGCACTTGGAAACCCTGCTGAAAGGTCCAAAACCTGCTCCAGAGACCGCAGCTTCTACGTATGTCAGGCTACGTGTATCTGCTAGGGAAGCTGGGAATTGTTCCTCACCGTGTGATCAGGTAGTCACTTGGCTCGAGACAGCTGATGGAGCTGTGGTGAGGGAATGATGGCTTGCTTAGGGGCCATGCCTCTTCATCATAAATCTATGTCTGTAAATATACCTGGCAAGCAACTGTTGGAAAGAGGAGTATCACTGTTGTACCTTTTGAGATAGCTGAGGCATGTGGAGATCAAGGCCAAGTGAGCCTCTCTCCACTGCATCTACTTCTGACTCCCTTGTGTGCGAAGCCTCAGGATCTCAGCAGCCAGCATGGGGACATGCTGTATGATGAATTAGGCTCTACAAAACTTAGTGTAGGAATGCCCCAGCCTCTTTAAAAAAACTGAGCCTAAGTAATGGGGTGATATGTACCCTGGAAGCCAAGGTCAGACTGAGAAGTGAACCAGATACCTCAAGTTTCAAGCTAGACCTTTAAGCCTTGGTCCATCTTACTTTCCAGTTAAAGTTATTAAAACCTGCAGCTGCAATAAGAAATACATTTGGTCTCATTTTCTTACCCTGCCATCTGGCTGATGTATTATCCGAAAAGTAACACTCGCTTAGAAGAATTCTTGAAGGTTCCCTAACACAGCTGTTCCCACATGTTAATTGCTTTGAGGTGATTTTTTTCCTCTGTCTTCAGATTCTTACCGTCAAAATTATATGAAGTACATAATGAAACTGAACAGGAAAGTAGCACAAAAAGAATTGCACGAAACAAGAATGATCATGTTTACGTGTCCATTAAGATTCTTCAACTCAGTGCCATATGCTGAGTTTCCTGTACAATCTTGCTCAAATCCTAACACGCATTAGCTTTCATTTTAAGGACATAAACATGACCAACGTTTGTGTCCAAGCTATAATTTATGAAGTTCTCAAATATTAAGCTCTAATTACCTGAGTCACGTTCTCTTGCTCTCCTAATGAACCTGTTATAAACAAGGGACCTGATTTTTTTCTCATTTGTGCTGATATAAGCAAGGAAAAATACCTTGCGTGCTCAAGTCAATGAAGTAATTTGATTGTAGAGCCAGTGGTACAATAAGGTATGCCTGTCCTGTGTGTAACATGAGGTGGTGATGAAATTAAGCCAACCTTTGCTTCCTGTCCTTCACGTGAGGAGAATACTAACCTCACATCGGTAGCACTGGACATGGAAGTCACGGTCCAGAGCGACAATGCGCACGGTCTCCTCTTGTCCTGGGGCTGGCATGATGGGTTCCTTACACACTGAACATCTCGGTGCAAATTTCCTGAAGAAAGAAGAGATGGTCCCAGTCACCCTCAAACTCAGGGCTAAAGCTTTTAACCACACCAGCAAGCCATTTGTACAAACACACACACATACATGTAGACATATGTCACAGTTTGCAGCTTTGAACAGCTGCCTCCTTGGAAAGGAGATGAAGGAATGCTTTAGTCTTACAGGGCAATTTTAGGCTTGCAGGATATTAAGGAGCATTTTGCAGATGTAATGGTTTGAAAGCAAACCAGTGAGAGACTCCAAGTCAGAAAATACAATTTAATAGGAAAAATAAAATAAATGTAATAATACAAAGAAAAACCACAGACAGAGTCAGAATACAACCTGACACGCTGTAGTTAGGGTGGTGGTAGCAATCTAGATGAAGCAGTGATCTCGTAGAAAAGATCTGGTAGCTCTTGTCCTCTGGAAATCAGTGGGTAAGGGACTCCTGTGCTGTCCTGAACCCCAGTTTATATCCAGGTGGGAGCACTTGGCTCCTCCCCCTGGGCAGAGCATCTCACAATGGGTTGATGTCATTCTGTGAGTCATTAAACAGAAATAGCTCCTGGGGGGAGCTCCGTATGAGCCATGGGGCAAGTCATGGATGGGCCCATTAACAGGGAGGACTCCTCCTGCTGGGTGGGAAGGTGTTAACATCTCCCCAGACCTCTTTCCTTATCTGCTGTAGCCTGGGGTGTGAGGTCTGTCCTGGGCAGCTGCTACCCCGATTTTGTTAACAGCCCATGAGTAATGTCATAGAGGGTATAGAATACACAGTTTTTGGGTCTACCCACATAATGATAAACTGGTCCCAGCCCCTGTAACCATGACAGCAGACTATTAGGAGAGGACTTCAAGGATATCCAATAGGCAGCAAAGCATATTCTGCTTGCCCGAATTAACAACTGACACGCCTGTTGAATGACCCACGCTCATGTCACTGGGGCACTGCTGCAACCCTCAGCCTAACTGTAAGAAAGTGCAGAAACTTGGGGATTGGAACAAATAGGTAAAAAGTCTTAACAGAGATTGTAAAAGGATTTGCCTTACAGTACACTGACTTGCTGAGGTTTATCCCACCCACTTCAAACTTCTGAGCCATCTCACCCACTTGTGCACAAAGGGGCACACTCCTGGCTGTGCTCACTCTCAAACAAGAAGCATCAGGGCAATTCTCACTAGCTGTGTTTTCTACCCAAATCCACCTCTCAGTTATCCGCTAGTGGGTTGCACAGGCTTCAAAGGGAACAGGTCTGGGTGCAGAGACACTGACACTTCCACAGTCAGCCTGAGTCAGAGTTGTGCAGTGATAATCACTCACTGTCTGATGGGACTGGCTTGAATCAGGGTCAGCTCAGGGATCGAGAAGAGCACAGACTTTCTTTTTTTCCCCTTATATTGCCCAGTGCATGCCCTTCTGGCTAATTCAGATAGGTTCTGTATTAGCTCTGGTTTTGTTCTCCCAGTTGCCAATGAGGGGCAGAGATCTCTTGCTCCTAGGCAGGTGGGAATGCTTGAGAACATTTAGCCTGGGGTGAATCATTATTTGCTGGTTAGGTTCAAAACTTATAGGTACCAATTCCCTGACTGCAAATTCTGCTCACAAGAAAGGAAATTTAGACCTACAGAATCTGCTGCCATGTAGTAAGAGCCAGGGTCACAGGCTATGGAGCGACAGAGGGTGATGCTTATGGCAAACATCAGAACATGAGGAGATCAAAGGCCCTCCTCTTCTGAAATGCCTCGGAAAGATTGACTCTGCCACCCAGCCTGCCACATGAACTACCTCAGAATTAACTAGCTTAGCAAAGAAAAAAAAATAATTAAAAAAAAAATCTATCTGTACTAGGAATAAAGAAAAATATTAATTTCACTGGCAGTAGATGAAAGATGTCTGTGTAGCTGCGATCTAACAAAAAAATGAATTAAACAGTGGCTACAGCATGCGCTCTGAAAAGTAACTTAAATGGATCATGATATGACCGGAGCTGTAATCGCCGTTAATTATACGCTGCTTCATGCAGGCACTTCCTTATGCCATTTAGCTCAAATGTGGTGCTCAGAAATACTTCAGCTCTGTCCAGACCACTGTGGGGAATTCATTATGATCCAAATACTAACTCCCAGGACCCAGAGATGACTCCTGCAGATGGGCTACTGCGGAGCCAAAGCTCAGGGGGCAGCTCAGTGAGAGCGCCAGCATCAGGTACAGCTTTCTTATCAAGAGAGTGTGCAAGCTGTAGAGCACTCGACCTCCAGACCAGGAGGACATGTCATCCCTAATCAATTAAAACCGGCCTGGCCGAAGTGCTGCTAAATGCCTGGTTGGCCAAAGACATTCTGAGTGTCACATTAGGTCTTGTGCTATTCCTGTCATCTTCCTCTCAATCTTTCACTCAGTAATTTTGTGTCTTCTCCTTGAATTGACAGCCTCCCAGTTTCCACCATCAGAGCCCCGAGGTCCACATCCAGTCACTGCCAAAAGATTTCAACACAGGACATCAACTCTCGCTCCCAATGCTTCTCCTGAAAGCATGTGAGCCCTTGGTCTGTAGGGCCTGGGGCAGAAGCAGTCTCCAAGTCATCCGTGGGTGTGAGGGAAACCTTTCAGGAGCATGAGTGGTGCATTAGCCTTCTGCTGGGCCTGTGCTTGGGACCAAATTTTACCTTACACAGCCGCTGGCACAGAAAAGGAAGGCAACACTGCAGCTGCCAATTAACCCAGCCTATCTGAGCTACAGGGAGCATCCCCATGTTGGGTTTTAACATGCCAGTCGATTGTGGCTGCTTCCCTTTCTGTCAAGTCAGCCTGCTTCTTTGAGCTTTCAGGCCCACACACTGATGTCACGAAGCTCTAATTAAGTCTACCCCCTTAGAAATTAAGAGATAAATGGTTGAGATGTAAACTCCCATTTGTCAGCATTGATTTCCTCTTTTAATTGAAGGGTGTAGTGTGTCTGTCTTTTCTATACAGGGGAAACATTTGTGCTCTGATTATATCTACCTGTCTTCCCTAGATTAGTTGTGATGATGGGGGTGGTAGCATGGCAGTAACAGAAACTACTTAAAACTACACCTTTCAACTCACTTTAAATAGCAGTTTCACTGTAAATGATTACCAGGGGTGTATTTTTAGCAGCTTTAAGAAGCTAATTAACAACGAGAAACAAAAGGAGCTGTGAGCATCCTGTGGCCACCTAGATCCCTCTAGCCAGTAAGCAAACACCTGCAGAGTGCAACAGTACAGGACCTCTCTTAATTGCTTGGTGGCAGAAGCGGAGAGATGCTGATGTAGAAGTGCAGGTACAGGCAGCGAGGAGAAACGTGCACGTCCTGAGTGCAGGGGAAGGCTGGGGGAATGCAGAGCATTTAAAACAGAGGAACACAGAGGTTATCCATAATTTCAGATCTAAGCAAAACAGACAACAAGCAGCATCAGCTCCTAACCAATTAATCTTGTATGCTGCAGCATGCCTGCTTGGAGCAAACCTCCGCCTACTATTTCAGTGTCTTGGGAGGAAGCAGCAGAGGGTTCAGACCTTTCTGGACAGTGGGGCTAAAAAGGAGGCTTTTGAAGGAGCAAAGAGAAAGCGACAAGCAGCGGCGCCGAGAGCAGCCTAGGCCGTACTTGTGGAAATCCTCGATGCAGTGGATGTTGCCGCCGGCGTCCACGGTGAAGGGGATGCCGTCCAGGCTGCGGTGGCACATGACGCAGGTGAAGCAGTGCGGGTGGTAGGCCTTGCCCGTGGCCCGCAGGATCCGCTCCATGATGGGCTTGGCGCAGACGCTGCACTGCTCCAGTGTGTTCTGCAAACAAAGCACACACAGACGTCAGCCCCGTCTCAGCAGGACGCGGACGAAGCTCAGCTGGGTTGGAGGCTGCTGCTGGTCTGCTTGGAAGCTTTGGGTGTTTTCTTTTCATTTCTTCTAGATAAGTGCAGTAGTCACCAAAGAGTATAACAGCACAGGGCCCCTCGGTCAAGCCTTGGGTATAGTGTGAGGACACAAACAAGGAGCTTTCTCTCAGCAGCTCTGATGAACGATCAGAGATGGCTCATCAGGTGGGTATGTCTGAGGCACTGCAGCTTCTGTAGCCAAGAGCACGTGAAGGAGTTACGCTGCTGGCACTCCTGGGTTTTTGTCTCCAGATTGCCCAATCTGAATAACCTTTTGCAACTGAGTTATCGGAGACAACTTCCACAGTGTGGAGTGCAAAGCTGAAGTGCAAGCTCCTGGGGCTACACAGAGACCCACTAACTTCTCTGCCAATAGAGCTCCTGTAAGGGATCTTTATCTGCCTTGCAAGAAAATCTTGATCCTCCTCTCTCACCATGGAGACTACTGTTGAATCTGGAGAGAGAAGAAAGCAGTGTCTGCAATGAAAGCATCACAAGGACAGATGTTCAAGATGACTTTTAAACTGTTAATTTATCTCTAGCCCGAGATGTTTGAGATAATGACTGTGAAACGCCAGCTCCAAGGCCATGATCCTTGCTGCACAGGTTTTACATACTGGCCTGCTCCTGCAGCACTGAAGCCAAAAAACCTTTCACCTTTCTAGTTGGGTCCATTAAATGATTCATGTCATTTCAACCCTCACTCACCCATGTAGTTAATTATAGAAACATCAAGATCATTTTGCTTCAGATGGCTGTCTGTGAGCCACACCAGCCCTTCTGACACCAACTGTGCATCTAACCTTTTCAAAACAAGCACCTTAAAGATACATGCCATGAATGGAGGCTGCAGCACACAGACACAAATTTTAAACCTGTGGCAATGACTTGGGTCATTTTACAGGACTTCAGGAAAGCAAACTTCACCTACTACTCTTTCTTGATGCATGTGGAGTTACATAACTTTATCAACCACTGTCTGAATCTCCGAGAAGGCAGGAAGTCTATGATTACAATATTGATTATGATTAAGATAGAAATATGGAGGGGGGGAAAAGGTAGAGTGAAAAATCTAAGGGGAAAGGAATATAAAAAGCTGCTGGAAGACAGATCATGTTGACAAACACAGAAAGGCTAAAGTTCTTTTGCTTCCTCATGCAACAAAATTCCCAGGGAAAGTAGTGCTTTGATTGACCACATTGTTGTTGCTTCTTTGAGCCAATATTCTCAGGGGCAAGATCCAGCCCTTAAAAACACAGCCAAAATGTATTGTCAGGAGATGAATCACCAAGAGCTCAGAGAAGTTACTTCTACAGTCACATATTTGCTATGGGACATTATCTCTGGGCTGAAAATCACTGGTAAGATACCAACATAGAAATACACAGGTTCATCTCAGAAGATCAAAAGGATTGTGTTTGGAAAGGTCGATATGAAAAGTCCTGAATTTCAACCCATAGGAGAACTGCCCTTTGTATTTGTAAAGAAAGCACAGCCAGACTAGCACTGGTTTCAGACTGGATTTTGCTTTATGCCTTGTAATAATAGGCAGGAAAGAATTATTGCTGGCCTTACTCTCTGGTTGCTGTCACCATCATCATCATTATAACAGTAGCTGGTATGCCAGAAAAAGCAAGGTCAATAATTTTCTCCTTGGAGAAACAACCTGGCAAATTTACCATTTTGCTTTGCACAAGCAGACCACATCATCTCAGTCCACATCCGTGCTGTCCTCTGCGTTGCCAAGGAAGGAATGAAGCACACCTGCAGATACTGGTGGAAATCGTGCCACTCATGAGGCGTTTGCTACAATACCTTCTGAACATGAGAAGGTATTGAGTGTCTGCCTCACCAAGCCACTGCTTGCTTCACTTCCAGCAGTTGCCAACAACAGAAACCCAAGTATGAAAACAGGGTGAGCAAAACAGCAGCTCCCTAGGACATGCTTCCAGCCTCCAGCAATTTCTGGCTTAGGGGCTTCCTGGGCCAGAGCTTGGCTTCTCTGTCCTTAGCCTCAAGTGGCTGTTTCTCCCATGAATTTTCCCGATCACTTTTTGAATTCTGATCAACACCACAACATGGCCGGGACTCTCATGGCTCATGTACACATCAGGAGCTGATCTGCTTCAAGCAGTTCCCCTGCTCTGCTCCCGCAGCTGATGCAGCGGTGAATCCAGCACCTACCTGGTGCTGCGAGCAGAGCAGAAACCTGCAGCTGCAATCCACCCTGCAAAGGCTTTAACCCCAACCAGCACTGCCTGGAAACACCCTCACTACAGATCTCACACAACTCCCCCTCGCACGTTTCAGACACACCGAGTTTGAGACTGTGAGGGATCATTACAATCATCCTCCCTGACATCTCGTGCTAATGCTGACACTGGTGGGAGTTGTGCAGTGACCAGGACAGCAGGAAACCACACGTCTGGATTATGCCTTCAGAAAACATATGCCTTCTGCTCCCAAATCTCAGCTATGTCACACTGTTTGACATTCTTGCAGCTAAGTAAGACAAGCATTTAAATTAACAAACTCCTGACTAAACCTTCTATACAACCTGAAAATCAGACCTGAGAAATTTATTCTTTTCATCCTTCCAAGTCTGTACCAGTGGGGAAAAACAAAGTCATTAGTTTCAGACTCCAGCTCACTCCCTGTCTGGTAGTGTATTTGCTTAAGCTTCTTTCCTTGCTAGAACCCTGGCTCAGACCCTTCTCTTCAAGGTGTTACCAGAAGATGCCAAAGGGAAAGCTTCCTTGATTCACACCCATTTGACATCAGGTTGCTGTAAGGCAGGATTTGGCCTGTGGAGCTAACAGGGTTTTCTTTGATTCTCTAATCAGGTTATCCCACATGCCTAAGTGGTGCCCCAGCAGCTAACAACCTGCACAAAGGTAGTTCTGCACATTACGGGAATAGCATCCCTGCAGGATTATAAATTTGGCTTCTTGATTTTGCTCTCTTTCACAGTTTAGCTAGCTCTCCCAGCACCTCCTGGAGCTTTCAGACCTTCAGAAAGCCAAACAAGATGAAGAAAAAAAACCCTAATAGCCTTATTTTTCTTCTTTTCTTCTAAGCTGCCATCGCCAGCCCTCTCTGTAATCAACAGGTAGAGTTCAGTGCTACACAGAGGGCCAAAGCAAGGTCCTTGAGAACAAAGATATGAACCAAGTAAGAAACATCAGACCTAGGGTCAAATTCATATCATAAGAATATGGATCACAAATCTAGTATAGGCTGAGGGAAAATAAAATCCTTTTCCCATATTTTTGGTTGAAAGGCAGAGAGTGCCCTTCTTTTTTAGAGACATCCGTGTCTCCAAATCCAACTAATCTTTTGTTTTGAGAAGGATGGGGAAAGAACCACCCATTTCTAAATGGAAGGTTGCCCCAATGTTAAAGGCTGAGTCTGCATCCACCTCTCTTGAGGGCAGAACTGCTTATCCATGGCAAAGAAAAAGAATCTCACCAGGGGAGAATAATGGACCTTAATATACCAGTAAAAAAATAACCCCAAGCAAAGATACACTAAAACACAGGCAAAGAACTGGAATGAACAGGACATCAAGCATCAGCTTGCAAGTAAAAATTAAGAGACTTAAACATGTACAGCACAACAAGCAGTGAAGTGGGAACAAGTATCTGATAGCAAGTGGTGGTGGGAGTTGTCTGAGAGCCTCCCTAGACCACATTTGGCCCTTCACAAACCACAGAAAGCCAAAGGGAGTTGCTCTGCAGATGTCAGGTTCAATTATGGGACACAAAGTGGAAATCCAAACTGCTGGGCAAGATTTCTGGGGTGCAAGAGCCATTGAAGAGTGGAAGTGGGAAGTGTTTGTATCCCCTCTTGAAAACTTCACATCCGAGACAGAAAGCTGGCAAACGGCTTCGGGGAGCAGAGCTGCAGTGACAGCCTGTGGGCTGCAGCTCATCCTGCTTCCCCAGCGCTGTAGATGGTAACCCTGATAACCAAATTTTGGGTGACAGCAGTAACTCACAGTACAGTGCAGCAGAAGGACCCTCCCCCAATGACCCTGCAATGAATGCAGAAAGCAAGGCACACAGAGATTAGTCGTTGCTTCTTCTGCATTGGCAATTCATCTGGAGCTTTACTGAACATAAATAATCTCTCCTGCACCCTGAACAGCAGAGTGAGGAGAGCTCAAGCACAGAGACACGAGCATGGTATATCTTATTTGGATGGGAGAGGGGAGGGAAGCTGCTGGAATAAATTGGCAACTCATACACAGGGACGTGAACTTGCTTTCTATGAGCACCGCAGAAGAAACATATATTTTGGAGTGACTGCAGAGAGGAGATGGTATCAGCTGCAGGAATCAAAAGTGACTGTTGTGCTAAAAACAGGCACATGGTCAACTACTGTAGTTGAACTGTAACTTAGTAAAGTGTGTTAAGTGAACTGCTTTAAATCTTGTGACTCCATCCTTCATTGCCTCAGATTGCGAGGAGAGCACAGCAAGAGATTATTTTCCCCATTGTGGGATAATTTTTGAGGCTTGAAAATGTTTCCATACTTAAGTGAAGACAGGGCACTTTAATCTCAAGAAGTCTGGTGAATTTATAAACCCCAAATTAGATCAGGTCAATTGAAACACTGTACTTCAAATGGTTTCATTTAGGTTTTGGGTCTGCAGATATATAGTTGGATTACAAATTAAATAAAAAGCAGACATTGGTGGAGGGGTTAAGTGTCAAGATGTAATTTCAACACTTCCAAAACTTTTTTTTTTGGCATTTTTTCCGAAAAGGAAAATCCATAAACCTAATTTTCCCTCCCCCATCAAATCCCCAGCCACCCCCAACTTCTATCTCCACAGATGGGTAAATCTCAGCAAACACTACCGTTAGCTTACTAATGGCCAGCATGGAATTCCCCCCTCCATATTTGAGG